CCTGGCCCTAATCCTCTACTGCTTGCTAACTTTTAGAAGCTACCTGTGCCTATCTCTCTTTCTCCAAACACACAGAAGAACTTAAGCGAAATCACGCAACATCGGACTACTCCTTATTTTTTTTGTGCCATTGAAGAATGTACGGAGGGCGAAATGGTACGAACGAGTCGTGGAGTTTACAGTTTCCAGCAACGGAGCCTCCAGTTATCAGTTCGTCTAAAGCTACAGCACCGGTAAGCTTTGGTGGACCGCTTACCATGATCATTTTCGGAGGTGAAGCAGTGGAAGCAACTGCTTACTTTCTAGAAGCAGACGAGGAAATCGAACAGAATACTTATTTAGCGCACTGGAAGGTATGCTTTGTTGTGTGTTGCTTAAAAACAGTTTTACGGTTCGGTAATGTCCGCTCCTCCCTGTCCGTTCAGTCACCCTCCTATGGCCACATGTTCATCGTAATGATTTTGAACAAATCAAGTTTAACATGCCATTTCTAAAGAAGTGGTTTGATTGAAACTGTTCAGGCTCATTACTTTTGCTTCGCAGCCCAACCCCCTCCCTTCCTTTCATTTCTTCTCAGTACTGGATTTATGCTGCTGGCACTATTAGCATGGCCAAAAAGTTCTTAAAAAGGCTTTTTTTACTAATAAATTATTTGCTAGCGAAGTTTTATTGATAACGTGAAATTCAGGTGCAAAAAGTAGTAATGATAAAAATTCCTCATATCATCGCATGTGAAATGGTGTGAGTTTTGAACTTCTGGCTTCGATTTTTGGATTAATTGAAGTTTCAATCACGAAATGAAACTCGAACATTTTAGGATTGTGGAAATTTCAGTTAGTACTCCAGGGACATCAATTAAAAAATAGTTTGTGGCTTATTCCAAGGCCTCTCACTGCGTTACGCAAAAAGACGGCATAATTTATCGCAGGAAAGTTCTCGAATTTTAGCTTCCTACCTATGCACATGTTCACACATACATACGTACCGGCAGCCTCTCGGAAATTGATATGCGTTTTTGCGTTTCGTCAAAAATGCAATAAATAACGGCGCGCATCTGGGTCGTCAGTGCGATAATGCGTTTTGTGCAGTTTCGACCAGCGAACATTTGCCTCCTAAAGATGTTTACTGTTTTACGCTTTCGTTTGTGACGAAATAATCTACATGATGTTTGGTTTCTAAACTGCCAAATTTCTCACTGAAAATTTTGTGTACCAGTAGATGAACGCAGACGAACGTAAAACCTGAATTTAAAACTTTGGGTGGTGAACGTTGTTCCAAAATTTCAGCTTCGCAAGTAACTGTTGAGCTAAAACTTTCACGTGGTCTTACGTGAGACCTACTCATACTTGGGAGTAAATTTTGAGCTTGTTGTGCCCCTAGATAAGCAGAAAACATCCTCCTAAAGTTTCCAGCCTCACAGCTTTTCTGGCTACCGAAATAATAATTTTCTCAGTCAAAATATTCACTGGGCCGTATGTCGGACCCAGACTTTCGTGGAAGCTGGATTTGAATTTCAGAGTTGCATTTGGGCAGGGGACAGTGCCCTAAAATTTCAACCTCCTAGCTTTCGTGCTTTTCGAGATAATAATTTTTCCCACTAAAACTTCCGCGAGGGCCATTTATGGTTCCGGGGGTAATTTGAAAGCTGAATGAATTCAAATGTGCGGGGTCGCACGTGGGAGGAAAACATTCAACTGAAATTTCAGCTTTCTAACTCCTCTGGTTCCCCAGTTGAAAACACCGGATAAAATGCCCTCGGAACACATGCATACACACAAACACGCAAACGCGCAATACGCCCTGATCGCTGAATTGAAAAGGGGTAACAAAATCCGAACACACCCACATACACATACAACCCCCACCCGCACGTACAAACACATGGACACACACATATACATACATGTAAACACACAGTTACACACACACACATATTATACCGAGAGCCTCTTGTTGATATGTGTTTTTGCGTTCCATGAAACATGCATAAATGCAAAAAATTGCAAAAACTTGAATGTAATGTTTCGGTGGAACACAGTACTCACCAGCAAGCGTTAGTCACGGCATCGATGAAATAAAAAGTCGCTACCTGGACAATCCGCAACTCCTAAGTAACAGAAATTTGAGGGAGGTAAGCCAAACAGAAACCTAGTTCAAACAGCTTCAAAAGCACGCTGCTTCATCGCAAAAGTTGATCCGAAAAATTATAGGCTACAGAGTATGCAAAAACCGTGTCTGGGGCCAAGCAAGTGATCTGTTTCTACGGGGGTTACGCCGATCAAACACCAAGCGGACAAATTCTCTTGTAAGTCTCTAAATTCGGATAAAAGATCGCGATGCTTATTAAAAAAGAATTAATATTAGCAGTATTTCGAGCATCTTTAAAATACTTTCATTTTACCTATCGTGATATGGCACTTGCTGTACCAGTCACTTTGATCAGGGCATGAAATCATTATTGTACCACAAAATGTAAAACCATCGCCTTTACTACGAGCACTGAGATCGCCTTGATCACACTAAGAATGTGCAGCCGATGCAGGCTTCTCGGTGCCACTGAGATGCACCTACTCTTGCGGTGCTTTAGAAATGGTAATTTTCTGACTTCTTAAAATTTGAGCAAGTGCCACTTTTCATCGAGCTATCTTAAGGCAACAGCTTGAAAGCGACGCTCCATGTGTACAGCTATACAGCTACAACATGATCTTTGGAATTGCAAAATCGCAGACAAATGTTGAAGAGGTGTTTTCAAGAACAGAACAGGACGATAAAGGATTTTTTATCGTCGGTTTCCAGTGAATTTAGTCGACGAACCAATTCATTTTTAATCAGTTTCCAAACAATTCTTTGCCAGCAATTCTGATATACATTCAGTCCAATATGATTGAAAGAAATAATCGTTTCTTTGCAATATTTTCGAACAAGAGAGATGAATACACTTTGATGGCGTGCAGCTCGAGGCTGAAGGGTTTGCATTGGCTGCACATGAGCTTGAATTAACAAAGTAAATCACGGATACCAAACCCGCACAGACCGACTACCCAGGCTGTCCCAGCAGTTTACGAAAAATGCTAATTTCTAAAAAAGATTGGCAATTCAAAGCCAGGGTGCAACGCACCAGGCTTGCCGGTGCGATTATGCACTCTTGCGCTAAACTTGCTGATCACTAACAGCAAGAATGATCCTACACTGTAGTTTGGCACTTGGACTAATATTCGTTGTGTTTTGATTTCTTCCCAACGCAGGAGGAAAGGGCGTCGGCTGGGATGAAGATGCTACATTAAGGGCCCACATGGACCTACAGTGTGCATGATTACCAGTCCTTTGCATGAAGCCCACCCTATTTCCAATGAATGCTTGCTCATTGAAAAAATGCAAATTCGATGGAAGTCGGGAGAGGACTATGGAATCTACAAAGTGCACTCGCTTTTGAATTTGCGATAAAATTGATCATTTGTCATGTCTGCGTGCGGGGAATCCTACCTCCAAAGGGGATTAAAACTGCTCATGAATATAGAATATACCTGCAGAGTTTTAGCTTCGCAGCTTATCTGATAAGCGAAATAGCCACTTCGTCACAAATACCTTTGAAACGCTCCAAGTCGTTGCGCAAGTGCAAATCGAAACTCTGATTCGGTTTGCCATTTTCCATAAAAACAGCAAATATTTTTATAAAATTTCAGCTACCACGCTCCAGTTTCCGGGTTTTCATAGTATTAACTGCGAACTTTAACGTGACCGTACGCGCTGCACGAGATTGCGCGACAGCTGAATTTGAAAATTTCAGCTCGCAAATGCGCGGAGAATGTCCCTGCAAAGTTTCAGCTTTCTATCTTATCTGCTTCACGAAATCATTTTTCGCCAAGGAAATTCGCATACTTTTTCGAGAGGTCCGTACGTAAAATCTAGGCGCGTATGAGCGAAGATTTTAAAACTGGAGAGTGACACATGAAGTGGGAGTATGGCCCCAAAAATTTCAGGCTCCCAGCTTTGCCTGTTGCTGAGCTGAAAACCCAGGCTGGAATGCACAAGGCGGGCCGGTGCGATTATGCGTTTTTGCATTTTTCGTGCCGTAGCAAGACTGCAAGAAATCACAGTAGCTAACCCCATGATACACTGGCCCTCGAAGTTCGGGAAGTTAATTGTGCAGCTATGTGGTATATCAGTTGTAGATGTCGACCTTAGTGACCCGACAAATGGAAAGTTGCTGGCCCGCGAAAAGAGCCGCACTGGAAAAGTTAAATTTGGCATTCCCTTAAAATTAAAGCCTTCAGCTTTCCCCATTCCCGAGTCAGCAGTTTTCCCACCATAATTTTCAAGTGTCCGTACATGAGTGCCGAACGGTTTTAAGGAGCTGAATATGAAATCTTTGGTCGTACGTAAGTAGAGAACACTCCCTTAAAGTTTCAGCTTCCTAGCTTTTCTCACTCCCGAGTTACGAATTTTCCCGCCATAATTTTCACGTGCCCGTACGTAAGTGCCCGGCAGTCCTGGACAGCTGAATTTGAAATCTTTTTGTCATATACGGGTAGGGACATTCCCCTGTGGTTTCAACTTTCTAGCTTTTCTCGTTTCCGAATTAGCAATTTTCCCGCCAAAACTTTCACATGCTCGTACGCGGGGCCCAGACGTGCGTGACAGTTGGTGCTGCGGTTCTGGGATGGCACTTTGCTGGGGGACACACTGGCAAAACTTCAGCTTCAAAGCTTGCATGGTTGGCGGGTTGAAACATCCGGACAGAACACACACACACACAAACACACACGTACACACACTGACAGGGTCGTTGCAATATACGTTTTTGCAGCCTGCTGCAGCGCTCTCGCGCTGCACGGCAAAAACGCTTAGTGAGTGACAAAGTTCACTCGCTTCCGAACACACACACACACAAACGGAGGTAATTACTGAAACTCAGCTCAGCCCAATCGGCCTTATACACGACTTGCGGACGGGCTTTTCGGGTGTCCTTACCCACTGCGGTAAAGAATGCTGGGTGCCACAGATAGAATGGTGGTAGGAGGCGGTATTGTATGCGGTCGCCAGGCAGGCAGAGGTAGGGAAGTGGTTGCGTGGATTAAGTGGATATGTGACGTGGATCCGTTAGCGGCCGCCTAGGCCACGTAGGGGGGAAGGAGGGGATAATGGGTGGAAATGCGGGAAAAGTGCGCCCGTAGTTTTTGCCACGGATATCCGGGGTTGCGGGAAGGCTAAAACACTGCTTACTTCCAAAGTGTTTTTATAGTAGGGATGAAGACAGCCCAAACGTTGTTTTGCAGGCAGGGTTTGGGAACAGGGTAGAGAAGAGGAACAACGATACGTGTCGGGAGCTCGAGGTAAGAAACGGGGACAGCAGTAATGAGAAAGAAAAACAAGACACTACAAAAGAAAAAGTAGATTAAAGAAAACCTGGACGCACGAATAAAAGCAAACTCATTTTAAAAAAATTGAAATTATGAGTAAAAGCAAAAAAGTAAAAGCGAAAAGCAAAAGAAAAAACTGAGTCTATGCGAGTGGAGAATGCTGTATAAAACCCCGTCGTAAGTTGAGGACTTCCACATTTACGGAGCTGGTGCTCAGATAAAACTGAAAGCGAATAAAGTAAAGCTGTGCGGCGAAGCTGAGAGCTGTCAGTTCTACTTAAGCATCAGCTTCATAAACACGGAAACCCAATAATGCAGACAGGCTTTAATGAGACGACCACCCCACTCGCATTAGCTCATTTTTTATTTGCTTTTGCTTTCCTTA